CTACATGTTGAAGGGCACACATACCCGGACCTTTCAAAACAGCAGACTGACGCCTTAAAGTCGTACTATATGTCGACAAGCTCCTTTCTCCGTCACATAGTACCATTCTCATATCATCTGTTCAGTGTTAGGCATAACCCTTACTGATAAGCTACCCATGTGTAGCTGAATAAGAGTTTGGCACCAAGAAGTCTATGCTACTAAGCAAAGCCAATGTAACAGGGCATCGGTACTATGAAGGAAGAGTTGCAGAAGTTCGCCAATTTATTATTGATCAGATGTTCGCCTTCTCACCCTTGCCTACTGCTACATCGTTGGAAACATTCTAAAAAACGCTATCAACCTCAGAGCACATAGAACAGGGAGACACTAACTACGATACGTATTAGGACTTCCTACCTTCTCTATGCAAATAAAAATGTTAATTTGCTTGGCACGTAAAACTACTCTAACTGCACGGGCATATGATCTATACTTCCTGACATTGCTACGGCAAAACTCGTTTGATGAAGTCACCAACGAAAATCACATTCCATCTTCAAGCTATCACCATGGATGACTCTGTTTACTATTAGAAAGGCCCTGGTCTAGACGAATGATTGCGCTTATACTCACCCTCCCATCCCAACACCAAAATGTCCCATTGTCTCCTTCACCTCTCTCCTCAACAACCCTCAGCATCCCCTCCACGCTCTCTCTCGGCTGGATCACACCTTCCACTACCCAATCCAACTCCACATTCGCCATATCACTGCCGCAACATATTAGCGCAACAGATCTCACTTCAGGCAAACATAACCAGTAACCAGGGCAGTTGAAAATCAATAGTCTATAACAAGGGTACTCACGTTTCCACCTCGCCAGGATGCAGCGCCAGGACGCACGTCCGGACACCCTTCCGCGAAATTTCCGCCGCCATGTGCCTCAATGATTGATTGAGGGCTGCTTTAGTCGCCGCATATACGGCAAATCCGTCTTCGTGGCTTCGGAATTGGCTCGCTGAACCGGAATCAGAGGAAATAAATATGATTTTCTCTAACGGCGTGGTCGGGTCGATGGAAAGCATCCTTTGGGCGACAATTATCGGGCCAATTGTGTTGGTTTGCAAGTGGTGAGTAAAGGACTGGAAAGAGCTAGTATATAACAGCCCATGTGAGCAAAGGCTATATACGTGTCTTAGGGCGATAGGCGTACATCTCTGTAGCACGATTCGGATACTGGTTGATACCAGCATTCAGAATGACATTCGTTAATCGTAGCCCCCCATCTCGCACGGCCTTTTGGACATTGTGAGAAAAGTCCTAGTTGCATGTGTCATCTTTTGCCCTTATCACTAGTGGATATGCCTTAACGTTCAACTCACATCGATACTATCAGGCTTCGTAACGTCGCATTCCTCTACGGTGATTAGTGGAGCACCATTCCGAGTATATTGGGAAAGCAATCCGAAGAGCTGTTCAGCACTTGATAGGCTGCGTACTGCGGCGATAACCTGTTCTCCAGAGCTTGCTAGCTGCCGAACAAACTCCAGGCCGATTCCTCTTGATGCACCCACGACAACCCATGTTCTGGTCATTTTGATCGATTGTCGTAGCAGGATAGATATGCGGGTGTCAACGGCGGGCAGAACTGCAAAAGGAAATGAGATTACGAACATGGATGAGCTTCTTTTCGACTCGACCTGCTGCCCGACACGCTGGTCTTATCCTGGTGAGAGGATGAGCGTATCTTTTGCCGAAAGTGGAAAAGCGGTGGAGTAAAGTTGGAGGGAATGAATGGATAAGGGCAAACCCGCAGATAGGGAGTCAATCTCCAACTTCAATCGGCCCCCGCAACTTCTACCAGTACGCAAACATGCCTCTCCCTCTGACGCCAACCCACCGGCATCATCCACAGGGTGTACGGATGGAATGCGCCAAGCTATATTTTACTACTGACGAAGATATCGTAAACTTTTGGACCAAGACCAAAAAGATCTATCAATTCTAATCTTCTATTTAGTAGTCGTAGCATTGCAAAGGTTGGTGGCATTTATACCTTTGGTGGCTGAGCAATATTAACCTTTATTCCTTTAATCAGAACTTCCCGCATTGTTTCTGCCGTCTTAATCCTGATGTCAAAGAGACTTTTCTGGGCTGTAGTACTCAAAGCTCCTGGAGCATTCTGATCATCTATGCCCTAATTTGGACGTTCAAAACAATCTCAGTCGCTGATATATCCCGACAGAGAATAAAAGCATTCGTTTTGCATGCCAATAGGTTGGATATCAAAGTAGATTGTAAAGAATGTTTATAATATTTTGATTACGTGCTGTATTGCGGCCGAAAATTCACTTTTACCCGATTAGGCCGGGATAGTTAGTTAACGTAACCAACAGTCGAGCGGGCCACACAGTCAGGCGGGCCACCCTGCTATCCCATATAAAAGATACCTTTTTCATTCTAGGATATCTCAGCCGATACAGAGTTTGAGAGACTCTAACTTTATACATAGATTTTAGATGGAATAAATAGTACACTTTTTTCTTGAGATTTTGTAATTTTTTTATATAAGATATATTGATTTCTTACATAATACGGGCAAAATACAGGTATTGTAATATGAAATGCTATTATATATATATTTCTAGAGATTTTGAAAGGTATCTACAGTATATTACTTATAGATTATATATTAAGCTTTAACACTCTTAGGCTTTTGATGGTTGAGATATCTGATTCAAAAAGAATCTATTATATGGTATTACAGGGTGACCCGCCTGACTGTGTGTGTGTGGCCCACGCGATTGTGATTTATGTTAACGTAAACAACGGTCGCGCGGGCCACACGGTCAGGCAGGCCATTTGGTAATACTAGACAAAAGATACTTTTTTAGCCACAATATATCTCAACCACCAAAATCTAGAAGGATTAAAATTGTTCTGTATAGATGTTAAGTCATATAAAAATATTTATATAATCTGTCTACAATGTAGAGCTTCTTAAGAAGTAGTCATGGTTGATATATAATAGAATTAAAAAGTCATCTCCTATATGGGATACCAGGGTGGCCCGCCTGACCGTGTGGCCCGCGCGAACGTTGTTTAGTTAATTAACATACGTGATTACTAGTTAGCGATCCTCACAATGGAGAGGATGAGTACTGTTTGTCTCTGGAGAGAGCATCAAACTTCAAGTATAATAGAAGGTAGTATATATAGCATTTTCACTCTATTTTCGACAAGCTCTACTACCATGGTCCGGTACGTTTCAGTTGTAGCACTAGTACGCGCTGACTTTCAAATATCGCACGGTTCTGGGCTGAATATATATGAGCGACTTGAAAAGACCCACTTCTACTCACGAGGCAATCGCCACCGAATTGAGGCCATCCTAGACGTCTGGTACGCGAAACAGGAAATCAACCGTTTGAACAAGAGTATCGGTAGGCATCTAGCTTACTGAACTACCACGGCTCTACTCCGACGGGGTGCCCGATCATGAATGCTACCACTGCAAGTGACTGGGTCGATCAATTCTAGCTCAGCGGCCTCGTGAATCTTCGATTAGCTTTCCCACATGGTATTCTAGCCCACCACGGACTGAAGAGTAAGTCATCCAGGTCACTTACAGCTAGATACTAGATAGATGGCACTAGGCACGAAGGCTCCGACCCACACTCAGAACTTCACTAGTAGCCAGCTGCCATGTGCAATAATGTCGCGTCAAGGATTCACGCCGAGCAAAATCAAAGTTAGGCCAGTCATGCAAGGGCTACTATGGCGCACAACGGAAGCTTAAGTTTTCAAGAATTACAAATGTCAAGTCTCATTGTCATGGAGGGTTCCAGTGGGACGAGAGGGCGCCGCATGCGGTGATGCCCCACTGAACCGTAATCTTGGTCGGACTGCCGCGCAGCCCCGATTCGACGGAATTCTCCGATCTGTTGGGGTGACGTTGTCCGATGAACAACAATAATGCCCTATGATGTATCGAAGACAATGGAATATGGGCCAAGAAGAGTTTTACTCATCCTCTTGCTCTTGTGGCTTGTGCGAGGCGAAGGGCTTGCATGATCTTTAGACTTTGGCGCTGTTGCTGCCGAAGGAAGAGGGTTATGAGAAAACTGCCAAAATGAACGGTGGTCGACCGGCTGATTCGATTAGGAGCAGCAGTGTAGCATATCAGAAACCATACCAGCCAATTCCAACGCTGTTACATTGCTCCCTGTCGGGCACCCCGAAAGGCCTGTCGTTGCACCTTTATTTATAACATTTCAGGTAGGTCTCCTCAGATACCCACTTACGACAAATCCATCTCTGCTGATCGTTTCCGGCCATCATAGCGATCGGTCGGATCGCCATTGTTCCACTTTTTCAAAGGCTGTTTACTAGGAGCAACCCCAATTGAAAGCTTACCTTCGTTGATCAAGTCACCAATCATTGTTGCATTTCCGTCCCAGCTTCGGCTTGGCCGCTATTGACCCATGGCTTGACAGCAGTCATGTCGTTACACAACAGCTATACCAACCAATATACGATCGGATGAGTCCGCGGGAGAAGAGCTTCCCCAGCCAGCCCATCGTAGATCGGGACCTGGAGTGGGGAGCTTTAGCTTCCATCGTAGATCTAACTGGTCATGTCGGATCTTTGCTACTCCAAGCTGGGGTAGCTAGCTACCTTTGAGTTCTGGTCTACCTCATGTTGACGTCTTGCATTGGGTGAGAGAAATACGGAGACCCCGTGAAGATGAGGCTATGGAAGATATAAAAATGAGCACGATGTACTCTGATTGTTCGAGAATCATAATACAAGTTCGCGTTGAAAAATACAAGCCTAATTGCTATTGTGTGATAACCAACCGAGGTTAAACCGACATCTGTCTGATTGTTCATCACTCAAGAGACTTTCTAACCTTCAGATGACGTTCAGCTCATACTGTTGTTAGCCTTTTATCATTTAAGTACTTAATATTTCTGTTCGACCCCGTTTCATTAATAATCCAATCAAAGCATCCCCAAAATGGCTACCTCCTTCCAACCTAATGTGCACTACACCTTTGGGTCACCCCTGTCTGCGAGCTCTATCTTCGGCAGGCGTCAGGCCTCAAATATTCTCGAGCAAGAGAGTTATTCTAACAGTAGCTTTCAATCTGGAAGTTCCAGACATGTGTCGAGAAGAGTCAGCAGCAGTGGTAACACTGCACTAGCTGATGTGGTTAACACACTCACCCGACGGAGCAGCGATGCAATGATAGCATCCAAAATCAACGATGCCGACTATGAGACATTGCTGAACTGGATCCGAGCTGAACGTATGAGGAAGCTACCCCCCGAGGGAAGCAGCTACGACAAGGCCCTGGTCTGGGCTGTTTTGTTCGTGGGACGTCTGCATTCCTTCGATTCAGCCATTGGACACTTCGCTGGCGACAGCCACACAGCGGCTCAGCTGGCTTACGTGTACTGTGCTAATCTACTGGAGGTATGTGTGAGGCCTTTCACATTCTATCATCACAAATATATAACGGATTGTTGATAACGGTTTTTAGCTCGGAGAGCAAAATGCGTCCGCCCTTCAGGACCTCTTCGGGTTCTTTTACCGCTGCTCGACTGGACTCGGCAACTTGTTGGACCGAACGGAGCTTTTCGATGTGTCCAAAGATATCAAGGACCAGCTGATTCTGGCATTGGCTGACCTTGTTACTCTGGTTGCTGGCGTTGCGAGCCACTTCAACCGCGCCTTGCAGAATTCCCAGACGGTGGAAATTGACATCTGCCATCAATTTTCCGAGTCGCTCAGCAGCTTTCACAGTCGCTGCGAGACCGTCTCTGACCTGATGTGGAGACACCAACTTGTCCGCGAGGGTCTGAACGGTGATAAAGGTCTGTGAAAACCCTCAATATAGATCGGCGAGATAGATTACTGACGGTAACCACCGCAGTGACCGAGATAAAGACTATCAGAAGCTGGCTTGAGCCAGAGGATCCAGCTCTCACAAATATCACCGAGAACACTGCTCATTTTGCTCAGGAGCGCGAAGAATCAACCTGTCTCTGGGTGTCTCAGTACTTGACCAGATTTCTCAAAAGCAACCAGCAAGTCCTTTCCTTCGTAGGAAAGCCGGGATCCGGTAAATCAATCCTGTCAACGGTCATCAACGACCATTTACAGCATCCGGTCGGAGGTGTTACCTACAAGCCAATCTTTGCGCCAATTAGTGAGTACACCTAAATCATATGGTATTGAGCGTGTCTAATATACCATATAGATGGCAGGGTGGCTGCGAATACTACACCGCGGGCTATTGCGAAGACGATCCTGTCCCAGCTGTTCGGCAAACGCATCGGCAATGTGAGGTTGTACCAGATCTTAGCCGATGCTTATGAGCGGAGCCAGAGAACTGTTGACGAAGATGCGTATGACAATATTCTCTGGAACGCCTTGGGCAATTCCCTCAATGCCAGTCTCAAGAATGCCAAAGAACTTGTTCTGGTCGTCGATGGTGTTGACGAGGCTAGTTGCGGCGAGACACCTTTGCTACGAAAGCTCCAGGAGGCTGTTCAGAACGCCGGTAACGTAAAACTGATTGTCTTCGGCTCCCAGAAGCCGAGTCAATTCCCATCCCAAACTACGGTGAACGTCACTCCAGAGCTGGTCTTCGATGATATTGCTGCCGTGGCACGTAAAATCTTGCAACAGAGTCACGCTTTCAACTATATGTCCGAAGATGACCAAGAGCTCAATGTGACCCGAATCGCAGAGGCATCACAGGGCTCCTTCCTGTGGGCCAAGCTTGCTGCCAAGCGTGTTCGGGATGAGCATCCAACAAATGCGAATTCTTTGACGAGGTCTATCCAAAGTATAGCCAACGCGGGATACAGTGTTACCGATTTGGTCTCCCAGTCTGTGCATTCGAAGTTGAATGATGATGGGAAGAAGATCTTAACATGGCTCGCAACTGCGGTTCGCCCACTCAGCAAGAGCGAATTAACATCTCTGGTGTCGATTGAATTGAACAAGGCCTCGTATACCGAGCGAGAGATTGATATCCAGCATACCCTTAAGCCTGTTGCGTCGTTGGTGTTTATCCAGAATAACATGGTCTTCCTCAGACATGGACAGATCCGCTCTGCCATCCTGGACATTTTTGCCAGGGAGAAGTTCCTTCCGGCCATCAAGAACCGAAACAGCGATTTGACGCAGAGGCTTCTGCTCTACACCAAGCAAGCCGTGAATGAGAGTCATGACCCGTCTTTGAGTCCCCTGGATGAGAAGGTTGCTCAGACCTATCTGGACAAGCACCCTCTTCTGGACTTCGCCCTTCGGTACTGGGTGAACCACGCCAGTCTGGCGTATGGTTGCACCACTGACAAGGAAATTGCCACAGCTGGAAATGAATTAAGATCAGTGATTCCGACATCTCCCACAGTGCCGTTGTTGGAGATGACTGTATGGGAGGGCAAGTCAACCCCAGCGCTTAAGTCACTGCACGAGACCCAGACGCGTCTCTACCGCCAGATCCTGACCACCACTCACCCCACCACCCTGCAAGCCATCCTGTGCCAGGCCATATTCTATCGACGTATTCATGATAGCCTGCCTGCCCAGGTTAGTCAAATTTTTTACGATGCGGCGGTGATCAGTAAAGATGTGCTGTCCGAAAGCCACCTCATCACAATGCAGATGACCAAGTTCTACTTGGAAACCACTGCAGACCAGGTCGTCGAGTCTAAGACGGACGTCATGATTAAGCGTGTTCAGATGCTCGAGCTGCTTGTGGAATGTTACAAGATCCATTACGGAGCCACAAGCACCATAGTGACATCCACCTTGACCCAGCTATCCCAGCACTACATTTCCATCAAGGAAGAACACAAAGCCAAGGAAATTGAAACATGGCTCCAAACCACGACAGAAAAGCATCACACACAGAATCACAGTACAACTCGGCAGGTCGACGGGTCGTTGCTGGTTCACATCCGCGGTCGTGAAGACACTAACGACCAAGGCAAAACCCTCACTTGGGAACACATTGAAACTGACGAACTGATCTCTCAGACTGTGGATGTCGAAAGCCTTTTCAGTCGGGCGGAGAAGGCCGTGGCTGCGGGACATTGGAGGGAGGCAGAAAGCCTCTATGTTGAGCTCTGGCAGCACACCAGCAAGGAGTACCGGGTCAATCGTTCTAGCGAATGGGAGTTGAGGAATGTGAGAGCAGTGATAGCCTATTCCAAATTTCTCAAGTCGCAGACGCGAGAATCCGAGGCAGCCTCCATTCTTGAGGGCTTCTGGGAGGAATATGAGCAAACTACTTCAAGCTCAGAGGCAGTAGTGTCTCATTTCCTCGAAGTCGCGCACCTCATGAAATCGGTTGGGCTGTCCCGAGTAGCTCTCAATGTGTTCAAGCACATCGCCCGGAACAGCACTCGGCAAAGCTCCACCTACCATGAAGCCGAGCAATACATCCGGTCCACTAGTCGGGAAATCATGCAGAGCACTAGCTTCGAGTCGTTCCAGACTGAGTCCAGCCTCGAGGAGATTGTGTACCATTCTTCCAGTACCGACGAAGTTACCGTCAAGGCTTCCAACAAGCTGTTAGAACTGTATTTGTCGCAGCACCGGTGGCAGGATGCGACCAAGATCTTGAAACGGCTTCTGCGCAGCGTTTGGCCGGCCTTGTTCGCCCCTTCTCTGGATGACGTCGTCCTTCCCTCGACAAATCTAGATAGGGCTATCGAGCTAACAGAGCGTCTGAGCAACTGCTATCGGTCCAGACGCTATCAGCTCAAGGAAGAAGACATCCGGGTGCGTCTCTATCGCGCTGTTCGGCGTGACCGACCCGCCGGCGATAGGCTACTTGAGAGAGTGACGACTAGCCTGTTGCGTCTGTACGAACGTACCTCTCAAACAGAGAAGGTGATCACTATTCATCAGGACAAGCTCCAGGACTACACCAAGCGTTATGGTGGAAGTCACCCTACCGTCCTGAAGGAGTTGTGGACCTTGGCGGAGCTCACCCGTCCCCGGCCCGTGGCTGTTGACTATTACCGCCAGATAGTTTCTATTCTGAACAAGGATTCCGAGACCTGCCACCCAGATGCATTTGAGCCCTTACTTGTGGTTGCAACGGAGCTTTTGAATCAAGGCCGGTACAGTGATGCACTGAAGCCCTGCCGCGTGTTGTTCAACACGCTCCAAAACCCGAAGATCAGTCCGAAGCTTCAGGACCAAGCCTTTGTGCAGACCATTTATGAACGCTATGTCCACTGCCTGCGCATGGTTCAGAGCGACACTGCTTCTATTCATGATGTGACTGTCCAGTATCGTAAGTCGTGCATAAGTCTGTTTGGCTCCACTGCTACGATTACAATCCAAGCGACCAAGACACTGGCCCATATCTGCCAGGAATCCAAGCAATATGAACATGAGGCAATTCAGCTTTACAAGACCCTCCTTGATACTAGGTCCACCGAGGTGGAAATTGACTATGATGATATTCGTGCCACACTGGACACTATGACCGAATCAGAGAAAGTTGAAGTTCAGAAGGAATTCTCGTCCATGACCGAGTCAGAAGTGCGGAACTGGGTGTCTGTCCGCACCCGCCACTTGTCTTCCATCCGGTCCACCCAGGGATGGGCGCATGAGGAGGCGCTGTCTCAGATGGAGGAGCTTACTTCCTTGTACACGAAGCGTGGGGAAACTCACCAGACTGTTTCGATCTTACAGGAAGCGACCTCTCAAATCCTGACTTCACAGACCTCTGCCACCCAGTTGACGGCGGCAGCAAAGAGCATTGTGTCCGGCTACATTGAGGCGGGTGAGATCCACCGAGCTAAGGAATTGAGTCAGGAGCTCTATCGCCAGATGATCCTGAAGGACTCTTCCAACGTGTCTCTCTTCGGATTCGATATCACCTCCAGTCAACGAGAGAACCTGGCCTTCTTGGCTCAGGTTGAGTACAGCCTCCGCGTCCGCGAAGATTCTACTGTCACTCTGAATGAGATTTACTCTACGCTTACCATGGAGTATCTGTTCATGGAGCGCTTCCAGTCCGAAATCAGCTCCAAGAGCACTAGCCTACAGACGTTGACAGCCACCGTCCCCCGTTTGTACGGATTTTTGGTGTCACGGAACCGTCAGTCCGCTGCCAACCGTGTTGTCGAGCAGTTCTCCAACTACTTCCTCAACACCGAGGGTAGCAGCCTGAAGCTGAACATACATCAGGCTAGAGTGTTCACTGAGACTATCTTAGAGTATTTCAGTACTCACAAGTCGCGGGATCTTGTCCGCTCGGTGGCCATCGCTTCCTACAACCGGACCACGCAGTTGCTGGCATCGGGCAATTATCAGGCAGCATGCGACCTGGCTTTGACTGCATTCCGCTACATCTGGTCCCACCAAGGCTACTCCTCGGAATCGACTCTAAAGCTGGTGTTCAAGCTTGGCTTGGTTATTGCCGGTCGCGATATCAAGGGAGAACCCCCAGCCTCCACGCGCAAGGAAATGCTTAACGTGTCAGGCACCATAATGCGCGACACGCTGGATTACTTCCAGAGCCACAACATTGACATGGCTCAGTTGGATCTTGTGAATCTGGAGAGCTTGATTGGCGTGCTCGATGAGCAGCATGACTACCACACCTTGGCCTGGATCCTCACCTCGCTCTGGAACTCCCGGGATACTCACGAGATCTGGAATGCCGAGAACGACCAGGAGGTTTCTCAGCAACAATTCCAGTACACTTTGGCTCTTGGCCGCTGGCTGGTCATTACTCGTTACCTCATTGGCGACTACACGGCTGCCATCCGCTTGGCCGAGGACATTGTCTACAACTGCGCGCGTGTTCAGGGACCGCGTCACTCCAGCACGGTGGAGATGACAGTCCTGCTTTCCCAGATGTACACCAGCGTGGCCCAGGGATACCAGAACCAGAAGGACCGTCGCGAACTGGCATACCGGTACTACAAGAAGGCCGCGGCGGTGCACGAGAATGCGCTGCGCTACTTCATCGATCCGACCTCGGTGTCCGCGTCGGAGATGGAGGGAGGCGTCCTTTCCGGACTCTCCTCGCCCGCCTCCAGCCCCGGAGTCGGTGCAGACGAGGAAGGCAAGTTTGTGCGGAAGCACCTCCACCTGCTGAAGCTTGCAGTTGAGCGCCTGGGCGACTGGCCGAAGGAGTACTCCGAGTACGAGCGCCTCAACAATGACTTGTTCCGTACCTACTCCAACGACTTGAAGGGCGTTGACGGAATCGACAAATGGAACCTTAAGCGGTTCGGTTCCGGTCGTGCTGAGGCTAGTGATGACCTTCTCTCGACTGGCATTGAGAACCAGGGAGTCGGCTTCTATGAGCGCCTGGCGATTGCCGTCTAAGCTCATCTCACAGGATTGGCGATGGAGCAAAAGTGTTGTGTTGTAGTGGCTTATTCGGATAAGTTAATTTGTGTACGTAATTACAAAGGAAAATTAGGACACAATAAGCACTCAAAAGAGGCGGAAACCCAGAACGAATCGAACATTGAGTGCTGTTAGTAGTTATGTCTCGAAAATTTTAATTCAGATTTCGGGTTTTGTTGACATTGTTGTTTCTGTCCGTGGAATTAGACACTAAGCCCTACGAAGCAGTATTAAACACAGAGGATTTAGGGAATGGTTATCCTTACTAGTCAATTGGAAAAGGGGAATCCCTACATCGATCAGCTTTTGCGGTGCAGCTGCCGAGGACCTTGAGTACTATGAAGCCATCCACATTCTAGATGAAGCAGTAACTTTCCCCTAATCGGAAATGACAGGAAATGACAGCCCAGACGAGGCAAGGTTGAGAGCATATGATTTCTGGCGTTTGCCTCCTATTGGCTCGGGTTCCGGATGTCTTCCAGGCGGGCGTTTCAGCCCTCGCTTTAGTCTGAAACCGACATTTGATCAAGTACCTTACTTCCGAGAGAACCGAGACCATGGCCTGGACTTTATATAAAGGAAGCTTTGTCCCATGTCCTCATACAGAAAGATACCTGCTATCATTCTCTTCGCTGTACTACATCTTATCATTCTCTTGTTCTGACGGCACTGGTGGCCTCAAGCATTCCATTCATTATCATCATTTAATTCTACATTCACTCTTTGAATACCAACTAACTTAACAAAGCGCTCACCATGCACGTTCTCAGCACCCTTGCCATTCTTCCCTCCGTCGTTCTCGGTGCCGTTCTGCCTGCTGCTCTGCAAAGTTCCACCAAGGTCGCCAAGCGGGACTCCTGGGGAGGCAGTGTCTCGTTGGGTCCGACCAAGTCCGACATTATCAACGCTGTCACCACAATCATTCCCGGAGTCGCTCCCTCCACCCAGAATGGCGAGCTATTCCTCTGGCCAGGAATGAGCAACGGAACTGGCGACCTCATCCAGACCACGCTCGAAAGCTGGCCTAGCAACTCCTGGTGCGGTGCCACCACGGGCCAGTGGTGTGTGCGCGCCAGTATCTTTGGCTCGTTTGGACAACTGGATGGTACTGGCTCGCCCGTCAGTGCCAACGACCACGTTCGTATCGAGTACAACCTCGCTTCTGATGGCGAGACCTGGACCCAGAATGTCACCAACGCCTTGACAGGTGCTGTTCTGTCCAGCTACTCTTATTCTTCAGGACCATACATGACTGGGTGGGTCGACCGGTACTGATAATTGGACCTTGCACCACATAGTTTACTGACCATGTTTGCTATCGTTGCTAGTTATGGCACCGGCACTGAATGCGACAGCGACTGCACGGGCACTGTAGCAGACCAGCTGTATCTCAACACCACCATCACCCTGCGTGAGGCGGACACCAGTTTCGGCGACACCATCGCAACCGGCGCGGGCGCCACGTATACCGGTCTGACCTCCAGCGAAGGCGGCAAGGTCTGGAACATCGCCACCATCAGCATTCCTGCCATGGGCTCTCAGACCGCCGTCGCTTCGTCCACTGCGTCTGTGGCTACCCACGCGACCCCTACCCCTTCAGCTGCTGGTAATGTTTCTACTGATGAGGCGACTGGCCCAGCTGCCGCCTCGGCCACTCAGGAATCCGTCTCAGTGCCGTCCATTGCTCCTTCGGTCGCTGGATCCGGTGCTGCTCCCACTCAATCCAGCTCCGGCTCTGGTTTCAAGTCTGGCGCTGGCTCCGGACTTGGCTCTGCGCCGTTCCCTTCTGGATCTTCCCGTGGATCGCAGTCGAACCCCCAATCTGGTGCTCAGTCGGGCTCTAAGGCTGGCTCTGGATCCGCGCCTGGAGATGATGACAATGAGCCCTGCCCTGAGTGGTGATTGAGAGGTCCTTTAATGTGTGGATTTTTCTCCAGGTCAGAATCGCTTTTTGGAGAGGACTTCGTATGAATTGAACCATTTTCAATATTAATTTCAGCACACATACTTGACCCAGTTTCGACCAGCTTAGCCCCAGTAGGTGATAGACCCTTTTGACCTCTCGGAGCATATGTACATAGGGCTGAGGTACTAAAGTGACCACCTTACATTTGTACAAGGGGTTCCTGATGAAGATAGCCGGTATTGAGGTAGATCACAGTTGCTTGAAAAATCTTGGCAGGCCCCGGGATTTGAAAGGGGAACTCGCAGCATCATACTTTTCATTTGCACTAATGATGGCGTTTTCGTTAGTCATTTCTGTCTTCGCCCATGCTATCCTGCATCATATGACGGGACAGCAGTTAGATGGGTTGTCATTAGATTAAGAAACACCGAGAGGTATTTTTAGCTCCGCGCGATAGTTGAGTTCAACTCCAATGTTTCGCTGTCGAGTGAGCCTGACACAGAGCTAGTCAGTGATAATCCCTTAATCACGGTCAGCCACGGCCTAAACCCTGAGAGGGGAAGGTCGAAGGACCACAGGTCGATGATATTAAGGGGGCGGAGAGCACACAAGAAGAACCGGCCGATATGCTTAATTTGCGTTAGTGGGTGCGGGCCAGAGGATGCGCGGGCCCAACGGTATCGTTTCACTTAAAGTGGATTCCGACGATCGCCCGGCCGTTGAGCAACTTTGAGTAATACAGTGGGCCCGATGGACCAGCACACAATAGCCAGCTGAGCGTGTTTGTTGCACCGGCCAGTACCAAGCAGTGCACCTCGATCGCACATCCCGAACGACGCGTGGTTCTCCGCTGGCCTTGGCCCTATCACAACTGCCCAGTGCGATTCCACTCCAACTTTGTTTCCGCCCTGGGGCTTATCTGGCACCGAATATAGCGCTCGCTGGCTTGGCTATCACTACAGGTCTGTGCGATGATCGTGGCCTCTAAACCCCAATAATCCTTTTCTATCGTCCGTTGCCCATGCGTGGATGCGCCGAATTTTACTCCATTTTTCTTCTCTGCTATGACTTCCCGCGGAAATGAATGCCGGAGGGTCCCCGCACAATGGAATCGGTGGAAATAGTACCACTGGCAGTCCGCCGCCCAAGCCAAGCTCTGCGGTCAACTTTGGCCCAGAGCTGCTGGCTGCTGTTTGGACAATGAGTGCATTGTCCATTATAGTTGTGGCCATGCGCTCATTCGGCAATGCCAAGTTTGGCAACTTTCAGATCAGTGATATAGTCACTCTGTTGGCACTGGTCAGTGCATGAACATGTCTTCTTCCGACGTCACTAACTTCTAGGGAGACACATAGGCTCTGCTTGTGATTGCTGCGGCCCTCTCCAGTGTCGCGGTAGACTATGGGTACGGAAAGACTGCCAGCTCGTTAGAGCTGCATCACGCGATGAGCTCTCTTAAGTATTCCACTATCAGTCAGGCCGTGGTAACGTTGGCTGCCACTGCCGGTCGTTTGGCATTTATCATCTATCTCATCGAGCTGCTGGCAGCGCGAAAATTACATCGCATAATTCTATGGACCCTAGTGCCCTTGCAGGTGGTTGTCAATGTCATCAGTGTTTTCTTGCTGTTACTTCAATGTTCGACACATGTGGAAGAATTGTTCAACCCGAGCCAAGCCACCCATTGCATGTCGTTGAAGGTTCAAATTGATTATGCTTATTTTCAGGGTGGTATGCTTCCTTTCACTGTGCATTCGTTAAAACACATATTTTCTAATTGACTTCTACAGCCTTCAACTCCGCCTGTGATCTCCTGCTCGCTGCTTTCCCCATCTATATCTTCTGGCGGTTCAATTGGAACGTCAGGGTCAAACTTGTTCTCGTATCTCTCCTGAGTTTGGGAGTAGTGTGAGTGGCACATTAATCATGTCTTCTCTTGCCCCAACTAACCATTACCCAACCATCCAGAGCCATGGCCGCTTCCCTAGTCAAAACTATCGAATACCCAACCATCATGACCTCGACCAACCCACGCACCAACCACGTCACCCTTCTGCGGTGGATGTTCGTCGAAGCTGGCGTCGTGCTCATCACCGCATCAATCCCCTGTCTCCGACCGCTCATTGTCCACTGGGTCAAGAAATTCATCAAAAGAGCACCCACTCTACACAGGAAAATGGACAACGGCGAGGTTACGCAGAGCACGACGCTTAATGTCAGTCAAATGACGCAGGACTGGAAGAAAAGATGGATCATGCCATATATGCAGCAGAGTGAGTCCGGGGAGAATTTGGAGCAACATATCCTGGCTAATATCTCCACGCATATATTTGCCGGGGACCGGGAGTTTCTCGATCGACATGTGCCTGGGATTGTGAAGAAGGTGGAGGTTACTGTGGTAGCGGATGAGATTCCATTGACGGAGGTTGAACATACCTGACTTCACGATCCATCTTGTCATGTTTGAATTGTTTTGTGTAATCTTAGGCTTGCCCTGCTGGTCATGGTAACTATGTAGATTCTTATGTCGTCATTGCTTTGAGGTCTCCCCCACAATTACCACTACATCAGTCAAGATAGATCTGAAGTCAAAATGGAATGTGACAAAATGTGATAAGATTCTTGGCATGGCTCCGTCTCGCGCCCACTGCAGCGGCTATTAGCGGTACCGGGTAATTTGATTATCAGTAGAGTAGGTTCACTGGTTTGCGGATGGGGTCCAGGAGGAATTTAAGTCTATGCATAATTGCTTCTCATCTTACAGTATCCTGCAATCATATGATAATATCATACATTAATAGCTTTCTGTATGAGCTTGAAAGTGTATTAAATGTTATTTGGAAGGTATTTTTCAATCTGTCCGAATCTACCGTTATAAGGAGTCGTCCAAGATCAACATATAGCGATAACTAAGGATGAACTTGGACTTTCTCTCTATCTAATCTCACGACATACATTAATCTTTACATTTGGATTTCGATGTTCATCCGTTACACTTATCTCGTCAGATAGGAGGTCACAGTAGCCGGCGGCCGCTATTAGTAGCCGCCGCCAGATCTCACTACAGATT